CTTGGTTTGTTCTGATGTCCCAGAAGCAATGTTAGTGAGTGCCCAAGCAGATTCAAACTGAATGGGACTACAATCAGTTCTGCCCAAGAAGGACACAAATTTTGGAATCAAACCAGCCTGGATTATGTTGTCTATGGGGGGCTGTTTTTCTCTAGAAAGTAGTTTCCTGGCAGCTTGGGTAGCTTGGAGCTGATTTTCCACGTTGTTGCTATTTATGCCTTTGACAATGTCATCAACAGACCAATTTACAGTGCCCTGGTTGTTGCGGTTTTCCTGCAGTGGAGAAGTAGCATCATCAGGAAATGAGCTTACATTTCTCCTCTTCAGCATCTGATCATCCTTCTTAGCTTTCCTCAGCTCCACATTGACTTCTATTCTGCGACGCCTCATTTCTGTACTGTCTTTTCCCTTATTCTTGAATCTGTTAAGACGGGCAGCTGGTGTATGTGCATTCTCGTTGGTGGACATGGTTATGAGACAAAGGGAGAAAGCTGCGAAGCGGGCCCGGGCTTCCACAGGAGGCTTAAGCGGGGATCCGCAGCTGTGGGAAGGCTGCGCTAAAAGCGACCACCTCGGCTCAGCTCAAAGACCGTCTATATTATATGTTAAACGAACTGAAGCAATAAACAAATAAAACCCTTGCCACATTCTATAAATTCCTTACTTAAGAAAGGGTTTTGGTAGTCTCTTTGATTAGTTGACTAAAGAAATACCTTTAGAAAACCACATTTGTAGACAAATAAGAAAAGAGAGTTATGGATCATCATTACTAAGTAAGTCCTGGGTCATCGTTGAATTTCAACAAAGTGGCCGATTTTTAAAGATGATTTATGAGATCTGATCTGGCATTGGGCTAAGAAACATTATTGCTTACTAAGAATTTTAATGTGTTTTCTTCTGTCCTTTTACTAGTAGAAATGTGCTTTACCATCTGTGAAGACAGTGACAAAAATGTTCTAACCTTGTGGTAGGGCCATAGCTTCCGATAAATGCTAGCAGTTGTGTCAAGCTGTGACAGTGAAATTTTGGAAACTATTAACAGAGGTCATTTTCAACTTCTATATTTAATTTTGTAAAGAAAGAAACTATAATATCATTTTAGCTTTCTCCACAACATTATTTAAAATTTTGGTTGCTTTAAGTAGGGAAAGAAAACAGCTGGGATAACAAATGAAATAATTTTTGGTTATGGAGAAACTTTCAAGAAGTAACTACTACTTGTGGTATTTTCTATGAAATCTCACAGCTGTCGAAAGATAGGCTAGATTCTAAAACACATTCAAGTTTCCTACATATATTAAATTAAACTTATTTATATGTGTGGAATGATGAAGTTGAGATATCTAGATGCATGCTGTAAAGTTGAGTTTGCCATTTTTTTTGAAACAGGGTCTCACTATGTTTCCCAGGCTGGTCTCCAACTCCTGGGCTCAAATAATCCTCTCACCCTGACCTTGTAAAGTGCTGGGATTACAGGAATGAGCCACCACACTGGCCCAGGGTCGCCCTTTTAACAAGGATTGCCTAGTTAAACAATTTCTTTCCTTTATCCATAACTGGCAGCTTTGTGGAACAATGAAATGGGAGTGGCAGAGTATCTAACACAGAACTGTGTTGATAAAGTCAATCTCACCTTGGTCTCATAGTCTGAACTTTGGAACTATATTATGTATCATTTAATGATGAGAATGTGTTCTGAGAAATGTGTCTTTAGGGGATTTTGTTGTCAGGTGAACATCATAGAGTGTACTTACACAAATCTAGATGGTATAGTCTACTACATACCGAGGCTAGATGATAAATCCAAGTGCTCCTAGGCTACATACCTGTACAGCATGTTTCTGTACTGAATATTGTAGGCAGCTGTGTATTTAAATCTAGGAAAGGCACAGTAAAAACACAGTATAAAATATTTTTGAAACGGTACATCTGCATAGGGCACTTAGCATGAATGGAGCCTTGCAGGACTAGAAGCTGCTCTGAGTGAGTCAGCGAGTGAGTGGTGAGTGAATGTGAAAGGCTTAAGATATTGCTGTATGTTACTGTATAGACTTTCTAAATACTGCATGCTTAGGCTATGCTAAATTAAAAAATATGCTTATTTTTTCAATAACAAATTAAACTTAGCTTATTGTAACTTTAATAATTTTTAAATTTTTAAAAATCATTTTGACTTTTGTAATAACATTTAGCTTAAGACACAAATGTATTTTATAACCGTACACAAATATTTTTTTTGATATCCTTATTCTATAAGACTTATTATTTTAAAAATATTTGTTTTTATTTTTTTTTTTACTTTTTAAACTTTTTTTTTTTCCTGGTCCACAGAAGATGTTTATTTGATGTAACAAAACAATACAGTTAGTGTTAACTCCAACCACAAAGAGCAAAGGGAATGAAAAATTTGTACAATGTACATAGAAAAAACAAGATATTTATGGTGACAACTATATATTCCTAAAATAATGCTTCTAAAATTACTCAATTATTGAAATCTACATGAAAAAAGAAGGATGTTAATAGCGACAAAGTGCATAAAATCAAACATTGTATTTTGAGCAAATTAACATACGAGGCAATTTTGCTAAGAATGTATGATTTTTTTTTCTTGTTTACAGTCTGCTCAAAATATCTTTATATCAACAGGGTAGGCAGAACATTTAGGTTTAATATCAGTTACACAATATTAGCATAAACTTCCACAACTACATAGGGTATTGTTTTCTTTTGAGCTGGCAAAGTGACTATAGAAACATCAGATGATTTTTCTGAATTGAGAATTTTACCCAAATAAATGCCACATACCTTCTAGATATATGCATATCTTTCTATATCATGTAAATGGCTTTACCCATTTAAATAATAAACCATACAGCATTTAAGAATCATTATTATATGATTAACAATGTCATGTTCCAGGTTTAACAATTTCATAGGCCAAAAAAAAATTTCTTCTTAAAAACTAGTTTTATAAACACAGAATATATTCCATGAGTAACTGCTGGTATTTTTTAAGAAAATATATTGTGCAATTGTGGCTACCACTTACTGCTGGCAATTTGTTGCCAGCATTTTTGTTTATGTAAAATGTGAAAAAAAGATGTAAAAATTTTTTCACTGCCTATGATCATGATGAAAGCTTACTGCCTTCTTACAAAAATTATATTGGCATCTTATTAAAATAATTCAAAAAAGGGATAAACTCCCTAGCCAAAAATAAATAAATAAAAAGGTGCATTTTTAAAAATGATGCTACTGCAATGCAATGGTTTAAATACCAAAAAACTGAGAAAATGAGCTGTCTGTGATCCAGCATTAAAGAACACACTAAAAAAGAGTATTAATGTAAATTAAGTTGAAAGGGAATCAAAATTGAACTAACCAAGTTTGTGCAGTATTATAGCCAGGCTTCTAAAATTAGATGTAGAAAATATAAATAGACTGCTTTAGGTAATGAGCCACCAGTGTCCAAAAAAAGGAATGAAATTATGAAAAAGCTCAGTTAACTTGATCCAAAGCTCTGAGTAATTCTTCGCCCTGCAGTAGGTTTCTGCTGCCTTGTATAGGAGCATTAACTTCACAATCATAACTGGTCAGCTGTGGTAATCCACTTTCATCCATTGATTTCCCCAGCAGTCTACATGCTAAATCAGAGGATATTAAAATAATTGTCTTTTGCTCCATTCCATTCTGTTCACTAGATTTGCATCCTTTTACACGTTTCCAGGAAAGTGATGTAGTAGTTGCATGATCATCTGGCTGCTGATAATGTTCCAATTCCTACTGCTTGAAAAAGCGAACCATCATGTTCAATGTTTCGCTTTCTCTGAGCATTCTGCAAAGCTAGTATCTTTGGATTTAGTTCTTCCTCAGGAACTGTAGTTCTCTGACTCAAAGCAACAGATAACACGTTAGGGCTTCTTGGATGAGACTTTTCTGTCTGTTCTATGACCCCTTTTCCTGCTCTGTTTGGTGAGGCTGTCGGACTTTGAGTATCTCTATATGGCGATGATGTGGCACTAGTAGTTTCTTTATGTATGTGGGTAGGAGATGGAGATGGAATCAATATTTTAATGTCTTCCATACGGTCTTTTGTCCCTGTTTTTAATTCATCAGTAGTGGTAGTGGTGGCATTAGCAGTAAGTTCTTGTATCTGAGTCTGCTGGAATACTGTAACGGTGCTTTGAGGGCTTGCGCTTTCAGGGCTTGCAGAACTGCTTTCTAACAGTAACAACTGATCAAAGGAGCTTAACTGAAAGTCAGCATCCATTGGGATATAGGGAGCTAACATCTCCAAGTCTAAATCGGTGTCCTGAGTACAAAATGGGTTCTTCGCTTCCGTGTCTTCAGCAAAAAGTTTTTCTACCAATTCCAACTTGAATTCATTGACCGTATCACTATCCACATAAAAACAATATTCACTGGGACTGTTAGGCTCAGGTGAACTTTGTCTTATGCTTCCATCAGAAGGACTGGGTGGCTGATCCTGAATCTGGGGCATGGTAAAAGAAAGTTCCAGTGACTCTGGATTTGGTTCTAATTTTAATGCAACTTCTTGATTCAGTGCAGGGTCAGCACTACTTTGAAGTGGCTTTGGAGTTTCAGAGGTGTCTAATGGAGACATTGACAAATTGATATTCTGTAATTTTTCATTGCATGAGGGGAGCATTACATCATTATACAATGGTACTTCCTCAAGTTGCTGGTCATCAGTTTCTGTGTCATTGCTGCCAAAATCTAAAGATATGATTGTGTCTCCAGCAGCCGGGGCCAGCAAAGTTAAAGCATCAGGTTCCTTCTTAAGCTTATCAAAGAGGCTACTTGTATCTTCTGATTCAACTTTGGTGAGCAGCTGAGTCATTTTCATATCTGAAGATTCAACCAGTTTAAGGACACATTCTGTTTGTTGAAGGGAGAAAATCAAGTTGTGCTGAATAATACCACTCACAACATAATTTACACACACAATGCACTGTGGTTGAGAGTTCTTGGTGTTATATATGACAGTGGCTTGAGTTTGAACCCAGACATATCCACCTCTTTTGGCAAGCATCCTGTACTGTCCTGTGGTGACTTGTCCTTTAGTAAACATATCATGATGGGTTTTGGTCAGATGATCAGAGTCTAAAGCATGATAATATTTGTAAATTGAGCGGCCTAAAAGTTCTTCTGGCTCATATCCCATCAATTCGGTAATTCTTTCATCACAATAAGAAAATTTCATATCCAGGCTGTGTCGACTGAGAGAAGTCTTGCTATCTAAAGGAATTTCAATATTTGATGGGTGAGGAATGGGTTCACAAATCAGCACCAAACAGGTCATAGGTGGTTTCTTACGCCCACACTGAGGTTGGTTACTGTTGGTATCAATACGTGAATATGGCTTGTGCAGTGTAATACCTTCCATGTTGCAGACTTTATGTTCATACTTCTCCCTCGGCTAGTTAAGGTACACTTCATTCTGAGAAAAAAGCTTCGCTGTGTGTTTTGTTCTTTACCCTTTTTCACAGGGCCATTTCTGTGTAAGCATTTCTCTCATTTCCCCTTGGTCACATGGATGAGTAAAATCAAACACCCTGTGTCCAGTGAGTTCAAACTGAGTTAATCCCATGTATTTGCTCACATTATCGGAAATGTAAATCATGTCACCCTCATCTGTGAGAACCATAATAAAACCATCCAAGGCTTTCAAATAAAAGCAATTCATTTGTGCTTTCATTTCATCTTCAATATCCAAATCACCAGCATCCAGCAGTTTCCTCACACGCAGGTAGCTGATGGTAAATCCCATAACAGAAGCCTTATCAAGATGTGAGCTCACATTATGTGGACGTGGCAACTGATGAGCAAGCTCATAAAAAACTTCAGATTCTTCGGCGAGATCTGGCTGCATCTCGAGACTTTTCGACGTTCAGAACTTATCTTGTTCTTGTGGTTCGCGCCGCTGGCGCCCTCCATGGTGAATCGGTCCCCGCGTGCCTTCACGGCGGGCAGCCCCCTGGCTCACTCCGGCCTAAGCGCTGGCTCCCTCCACGCGCGGAGAGAAGGAAAGGCAAGTCCAGAGGTGGAGGTGCGAGGCGGGAAACCGCTGGTGGGAACAGAAGGAAGAGAAGTGGGGGGCAACGCTGGGGTCCGGGCCAGGCTCGGAGCCTGTCCTCGGGCGGCTTGTCAGGGCCCAGCCCGGGGCAGTGGCCGGAGCGACAGCCAGGGTGATCCTCGCGTCCCCTCAGACGAGGCAGCTCTGTGCCTACTGTTTAAACTTTTGTGTTAAAACCTAAGGCACAAACACAGACATTAGCCTAGGCACACAGGGTCAGGATCATAAGTATCACTGCCTTCCACCTCCATATCTTGTCCCTGGAAGGTCTTCATGGCTATAACACAGATGAAGCTGTCCGTGACTTCTTACGATAACAACGCCTTATTCTGGAATACCTCCTGAAGGACCTGCCTGAGGCTGTTTTACAGTTAACTTTTTTTTAATAAGTAGGAGTACATACTAAAATAATGACAAAAACTATAGTATAATCAATAAATAAACCAATAACATAGTTTATTGTCATTATTGAGTATTATATACTGCATATAATTATATGTGCTGTATTTTTATATGACTGGCAGCACAGTAGGCTTGTTTACACCAGCATCACCACAAACATGAATAATGTGTTGCACTAAGACCTTAAGAGAGGTATGATGTCACTAGGCCATAGGAATTTTTCAGCTTGTTACAGTCATATAGGGCCACCAAGGTAAATGCTATTTGTCATTGACCAAAACATTCTTTTGTGCTGCATGGCTGTATATAATTTGGACATACGTATTTCCATCTGAATAAAAGTTTTACTACTTGATGTTACTTGGCTTCTCTGAGCTCCATTTTATCTATAAAATTAGAATAAATACATTTGAAAAAATGAACTTCAGCATGGTTGGGAATAGTATATAAAATGATGGAATTAGTGGACCCCCAAACCCCTCTCCATTCCGCTCCAGGTTTTAGAGATTTTTATACTTCCTCCACCCTCCTCTTTTCAAAATTTGTTTAAGGGGAGGGATTCTAGTCAGATCACTCATACTTTAAGACTTCAAGATTCACCTGCCCAAGTATGTGTTTACCAGGGGTCAAAGATTTTAAGTCAAAAGAATGAATCTTTAACTGTGGAATTTTAGGAATTACTTACATATTGGGGGAGATATTTATTTGCTCAGATATTCACTTCCCTATGCTTCTGAGTTCCAACCACAGAAGTGGTAGACAGTCTGCTAGCTAGACTATAAAACAACCAACTGCGCGAGGTGATACTAAGGAATATTAAAAAGAGAGTTTTCTACATAGTCATGTTTTTTATTTAAACACACACACACACACACACACACACACACACACACACATACATTCAGGCAAGTTTCTTATTTCTTCCATGGCTACCTAATACAAAAGCAAGTACCTAATATTTGCCTTGGGAGAGCAGAACTTCCAAATAGAATATTATTGCTAACAATGGCTTTGTTATACAGTCATTCAACCCAGGGAAGCACCAGCTTAGGAATTAAGGTAGCACTTGCACATTTGCATTTGCCATGTAAATATACACAACGGGTGAAAGGGCTTTTCTTCTTTTAAAGGGAAAGAACACCTTCTTGCCAAGGAAGAGAGGTCACAAAAAATGCATTAAGTTCAATTTCTGAGCCTTATTTTGAAGTATCTAAGGATAATTTCTCAGCACCATTAGTAAGATCACCATTCTGAGCTGAAATGTAAGCTTTGGATCATGGCTTGAGATGGAAAGATAGAACTTTGGACAAATGATTTCCTACATTCTAGATGTCTACTAGTCTTGTTCCACTAGTACTATTTAGACTAATAGGTAATATTTAAGTCAGTCCCTTTAATGACCAAATGAGGTAGGGACTGTTAGAGGTTTATTTCATAGCTGAGAAAATGTGGCTTAGGTGACATCCATCAAAAAGTGGTGGAAACAGATCCTAGCCCAGGTGGTCTACCGAAGTAAAAAGG